TAACTTCAGCAGCTCTACTGAACTACAAAATATTCATCAACTGTCCAACATCCACACAAAATGCAGGAACATGTAGCTTTTAAAAATAAAAGGTTACAGAATGATTATTATATTTAATGTTTGTTCTGAAACCCAACACCCATCAAAATGAATCATAATTAATCCTCTGTTAGACTTACCTGTGGAGATTTGGAGAGTGACGGCTCTGTTATATTTCCCATTGTTACCACACAGATACGTTCCTTCATCTTCCTCAGTGAGGTGAGAGATGATTAGAGCTACAGTTCCTGGTTTATTCTGATTCAGTCTCTGAACTCTGTCTCTGTAGCGCAGATTCTGACTGTCGTCCTCTGGAAACACTGAGTGTTCAGCTCTGTACTGACCTGGTATGAAGTTTCTCGTAAATCCCCACTGAACTGTCTGTGGATCAACCTTTGTTTGTTCTGTACAGGAGCACGGCAGCTCCACAGAGTCTCCCACAGATTTGGTGATGGTGTCTCCCAAACCTCGCTCTACAGTGCAGCCTGCAGAAACACCACATCACCAAGAACTTACATTATATTCAGAACATATGAACACTCATGATCTCTGAACACACTGCAGGATTTTAGGTCTCATTTCACTCTCTAGACAACTTTTCAGGGTTTGGTGTGGAAACGGCTCCTCAGAGGTTCAGCTGAAGCTGATGGTCAGAACAGACTGATCTCTTAGTCCAGTCCTGCCCACAGGGACACAGGAAGGTGTTTTAAGTTGGTGGTGCTGAAGTTTTAAGCAGGATATATGTGAACGATGACAGCATGTAAAATGATTTGCCTTTTTTCATTAGAATTTTGTTTGATAATTGACATCAAACAGAACGTGTCATAACATGCTATAAAGTGTCAAGAGACAACAATATACACATATAACTGACACATCAAACCGCTGATGCACATCCTCTCTTTGCCCTCTTGTTTTGGACAAAAGTCATACAAATGAACTGATATCATATCAGATTTAACACTGGGACTCACATCAAATAGGAGATTTACCTGTTATAAAAATATCATTATTGCAATAGATTATTATAATGTTAAGTTAATTAAAAACATTGGGCTGCTTTGGGGCTCAAAACCGGGGCTATAATATAGAAACTATAGATCTGACAGGTCCAGATAAGATTTTTCACAAATTTGTGTTACACAAGCAAATTTTAGCTTAATTTAGAAAAATAAATCTTACAGCATTTTATCTCGAGTTCTGAAACCCTAAACTGCTCAGTCAAAGTTTAAATTCAACCTTTACATCTCTTACCAAGTAACTGATAACATTAAAAATGTGTGTTAGTTAGCCAGACAGCTACTGCTGTAAAAAGTTGTCAAAATAATCAAAATTATTAAGCTGGAAAGCTGCCGTTGTAAAAACCTGTCAGTTAGTTAACTAGACAGCCATGATTCTAAAACTGTCAAACAAAACTAAAGTGAGAAACACTGGAAGTTGGTAAAGGTTAATTACAGTGTGAGTGCGCCCCCTGCTGTTTAACAGAGTGTAATCACTCCCCAGTTTCAGTTTCCATTTCTCAAAACGTGTGAGCTGCACTAAAGCTATTCATCCTAATAAACACACACACACATTTAAATCAGTCTCATCTAGAGGTAACAGAAGTACACAAGTCCTTTACTTAAGTAAAGGCACTAGTAATCTAGTAAAAAATGCTCATACATTGTACGAGGACTGCCTACATTATCATCCACAAACATTCACTCATGTTTACTACACATTTGATTTTCTTTACAGGAATTTGAGATGTACATTGTTGGAATCTCTTCTACAACTACCGATATTTATTTTAGCTGTCAAAACTGAACACCAGATGAAATAACTCCATTAAGTAAGGACCAGGGCCAGAGTGGGACTAGTTTTCATACTGGGAGTTACATGATGGAGACCAGCCCACCCCAAACTCCACACACAACGTACTAAAGTCCTGCAGTGTCATTACATCAGACTAAAGACTTTTCCTAACATCAGTGCAGTCATCACCCTACATATTCCAACATCAATCAATCAGAATCCTGGATTCACATAAACAAAACCAACACTGCAGCACCCTGACTATAAGTCATTCACCTGCTGACCACAGACACAACTTCTGTCCAGAGAAGACGACAAAATGAAGGTAAAATCAGACACTTAAACCTACAGAACTGCCACAGCTGGCAGACCCAAATGAAGATGACATGCATGTTAAATCAAACAGCTGATAAACAACACAGCAATCTTAAAAACCTAAACCTCATCATCGTAGCCAAAAGCATGTCACCATGGCAGGCATGAAACTGTTTATAGTCCATTTTAGATGTTAGATGTTCGTGCTGACATTTTCACAGAGCCCATGCCAGCTTTTGCAGTAAAAGAGCATTTTGTAAATACCAGACTCACAGAAAACTGGCGATGACGTGGTTTACATTTATTTTTACCTTTGGACGAGGAGAAAACAACTTACTTCAAGAGCAGATATGCTTTAGGACGCCATCAGTTAATATTTTAACCTCAATCAGCTTCAAACTCAAAGACTGTAATGCTGATAATGAACTGAGGGTTTAAGGCAAATGTAATAAATTCTGTATAGTTGCCTTTTAAGTTCAGCCAATAATAAACTGGATAATATTATGGGCAGATTCACACGGTCATGATTATCTCTCGAGGCTGAAGTTAGTTTCTTATTCGATTTTCTGTCCCACCTTAAAAGAGTACTATACTACATTTCTATTAATACAGTATCTCACAAAAGTGAGTACACCCCTCATATTTCTGCAAATATGTTATTATATCTTTTCATGGGACACTATAGAAATGAAACTTAGATATAACTTAAAGTAGTCAGTGCACAGCTTGTACACTGTCCTGAGGTGTTTCAGATTGTCTCTGTTTGAATCATCATTAATGTAGTGCTTTTATCCAGGACTGTGTTTAGTCTCTATCTACAGAACTGGATCAACATTGTTTCCAGTGTTGAGCTTCTGTTTAAGGGTTTCAGTGTCTTGAGTCTCTTTTGAGTCTATAAGAGAGGCCAGAACTGGAGCCTGTATAAATATAAAGCAGCACTGAACGGAACATTAAAGAACCAGCTTGGATCAGTTTCAGACAAGAACACAGTCAATCCTTAGAAGAGGAGATCAGACAGAGAGGAGAAAGAGCCAATAAAGACATGAGAATAACAACATATCTAGAACCTGAACTTTTCTACATTTCATCTACAGTTCACTGTCTACAGTTCACTACAGTGAAGCAGTGATACACATGAAGAGTAACTCACACAGTCGTGTAGACTCACCTGAAGATTCCTGCAGCACAGAGTAGAGCAGAAACACACAGAGCCACATCTTTACTGAGAGAACGGAACTGTTCACCTCTCTCTCTCTCTCTCTCTCTCTCTCTCTCTCTCTCTCTCTCTCTCTCTCTGGTTCAGCAGTGTCCACTCTGAGAGTCCGAGAAGTGAAACGGGTGTTTTTCTCTCCAGCTCTCTGACCACATCCTGAGAAAACTTCTGCCTTTTCTGCTGAGAGGCTCCAAAAGAGGAGATTTAATGCATGTAAATAAACTGTACTGCTGTTCATTTACTCTAATAGAATGTTATACAGCAGATGTTATGTGCTGTCATGAGCTGTCATGACAGGTTATTAATGTTATCATTACCTGTAATGACTGATTTGATAAAAAAGTCATGATATCAAACAATGTACAGTGTTCTGTAACAAGAGAAAGATAAAAGTGATACCTTTAATATCATGAGCTTAGAATTGAAATAGTTCCCTGGAAAAAAAGTATTTTATTTTAATGAAAACATCACTGAGTGTTTATAATCTATTATAATACACTCCTTAGTCATTAATGAATATGTGTAATGAGTGTTTTAAAATGAAGTAATTGTAATGGAGTGTTATCAATGTGCCCTGAATGCTTCATGTACATGTAGTTACTGTAAAGTGTTTCTTTTTCACTGTAAATTCTGAATAAAGCTAATTGTAGCAGTGCAGGTTTGTGAGTATTTATCTCCTAACTTTGTGCATAAAAATCTCTTAATGATCAGTAACTAAATAGTTAGGAGCTCATAATTAAAGAAGAAAATAGAACAATTTAACAGCTTGTTTCCTTTAAACATTCACATCTGGCTGTTATTCAGCTCAGTGTAATCTGCATATTCTTCTCATTTCCTGATCTTCTGTTACCAGAAACTCTGTAAAACGGCACCTACTGGTTTCTCTTTGGAACTTTTTGATTGGAAAGTTTTGGAACTGAAACTGATTGTCTAAATATAAAGAGTTAATAAACACATCTGTCCGCTCAAATTTAATTCAGTCAGATTTCCATTCACTCAAATAGGGTGGAGTGAGTTCACACAGACTGGTCTTTATATTCAGTAACAATGTAAGCTCTGTTGATGTAGTCACTGTTACAGATGGATTACTGTAGTGCTGCTCATGTAATTACAGTAGTGTATCTTGAAGGGTATTATAATGTAGTAATTAATCTCCACTTATTATCAGAAAAGTCTCGCTGGAAAACCAGCAGTTTATCTTTCAAACATGTGTAATAACAATATATCCATTATAACTACATACGCTGTTACACTGAGTAAAATACAGACAAGTATTTGCACAAGCTGTACTACAGTGGCTATGTTTACATGCAAAGATTTTTGCCAATCCGATTGAATACAATCCGATTACAGATTCAGACTGAGGTGTTTATATGCTCACTCTATTCAATAATTTGATGGAAAATCTTCATTTACATGCTCACTACAAGTAATCCGATGCAAAATGAAACGTTACCATGACAGCGAACATCACGTGAGGTCCAGTCCGCGTGAGATGAGTTTCCAGTTAGCGTGCTTGTGTTTTAATTGCTTTAAAATAATGTCAGACTCAGAAAAACGTGCTTCACATGTACTTATAAAGGAAGCAGCGAGAGGAAGTCATCGTGTTCTGAGACTGATAAGCTGGACGCCCGTCCAACCGGCGTCTTTTAAAGATCAGAGCATAAACTTCGTCTCCTCTGCTGACCAGTTTCTGCGGCATCATGCTGAACGGTATAAACTTTCGCCATGATGTGACGCACATGCGCAGAATATACTTACACATTCCGATTAGAATGTAATCAGATTCAGGCGTTTACATGGCTATTATTCTTCTACTTAACGGATTATTTAGAAGTTTACCCACCTCGTTCAATCGGATAGAAATTGTATTCCGAATGGCCTCAATCGGACTAGACTATTCCGATTGAGGTGTTTACATGGATGTGTTCTATTCCGATTGAGCTGTTAGTCGGATTATTAACAGATTATCAGGCTGCATGTAAACGTGGCTAGTAAAGTGCTACATGCTTGGAAAACGGCCGAAAGAGTACATTTGTGGGTGGAGCTTGGATGGGTCCATTTTGGCGCTGCTCTTCATGTGGGTTTTGCTTCAAGTGTTTCCGTCAGTATTTCACAGAAAGACTAAATGACTGAAGCCACATTCCTAATATAACTATATCACATCATCATGATTCAGCATAAATCTGCCAACATAAGTTAACACATCCTCTACAGAGAACACACTTTATTAATTTTAATAACTTAATGCACAATTAGGTTTTATTTGCTGAATTTGACATACCAAAAGTGACCTGTACAAAAGTCATATTAAATGTCATTTATATCTATTAAACTTAGCAAATAAATTGGCTCTAGAAATTGCAGATTGATGGTGTTCAAAGTTTTACATATGACTAATGTTTCATCAAGAGAAGAGCAAATCACAGAAAACATGTACAGTAGCAGGTCAGCTCACAAACACCTGGGACCCTGTTTAACCCCCAAAATGGCCAGGGCCTAATTGTTATAACACTTCTATAACCTAAGAATAACTCAGACAGTTTTCACTGAAGACCCTGTTATTACTGGAATACTAAGCTTTAGTATGTAATAAGCCTGAGATTTTAAGGGGATAAGCTAAAAGAACCTAAGCAGAACCGTCTCCACTAAACCTTTCCAAAACAAACGCATACAGCCAGCAACGGTAAGTTTTTTAATCTGTTTAAACATGCAGTCAATAATTTTCTCATTTCTCATTTTTTGTTAATTGGTTTAAGACTTTAATAAATTTGTACCACCTCACAGTATTAATAACCATTAATTAAATGTGTTTATTAAATGTTATTAATATAAATTAATAAAGAGTTTATGTCATCAGACAGCAGATCAGTATCTCTCTGAAGTTTAGCTAGTGAGGTCCTGAATTCTGAGAGCCGACTGTCCCTCATTCTGAAATGCTTTAGCACTGCGAGTGATGAAGAGGAGGCTGTAATTATGCTGCATGAAAGCACTCAGATCAGGAAAACCATCCCAAATAGAACTCTATATCTTTTATATACCATGTATATAAAACACACACACACAAATATGAAAACTGATATGATCTGGCATCCTCTAAGCTCTGTTGTCTGATGGTCACTGTAAAGGCTTACAATCAACTTTTCAGTCCAGAGAACTATGAATGTGACCAATGTTACATCTGCCAGGATGTAAACTGAAACAAACTGCCGTTCAGTGTGTCTGGAATGTGAAGGACGTGGTGATTAAGGCTCCACATCAGCACCTCAAACACTTCTTTAAAGAACAACATGCCTGAGTGTGAGAGTCGGCGCTGAGTGCTGCTTTTCTGCTGACTGTTGCAGCTAAATTATTTCTTCATTACTTAGGTATTTTATTATCTCTGTCTATATCTCTGTCCATGGATGAGTAAATAAATAAATAAGTGAGTAAATAAATATCTGAGACGTCCTTTTTGTCTGTTAAAGTAAGTGCACACCTGGCTTCAGTAACTCATTCTGCTTTCTTTGGCAGAAACAACTTTATGTAGGCGTTTCCTTTAACTGTCAACCAGTTTCTGGCATCAGCTGGGAGAATTTTCAGCCCATTCCTTCATGCAGAATTATTTAAATTGTGCAATGTTTGAGTCATTTCTTGTATGTAAAGCCAGGTTTAAATTCCCCCACACCCTTTCAGAGGGGATTCGGATCTGGTCATTGAATGGGCCATTACATAACCCTTCATTTCTTCCTTTTAAACCATTCCTTGGTGGATTACGTGTTTGGGATAATTGTCCTGTTGGAAAGTCCACGTCTTCAGCTTCAACTTTTTTACAGCTGGTTTCACATTTTATACAAACTCTCATGAAGAGAATGAGAGAAATAAATAATATCATGTTTAACTATTAACACTGTTGAAATGAAGACCTGTTTTTTCTGCATCTCCAAACATCTTGAAAAAGTCTAACCTTTCCATGGTTGTAGTTACTAATTCACTTGACTGTATATGTGACAGAACAACAAACAGATTCATTACCTTTTACCTTTGTGTTTTTTAATGCATGATTCAAATGGCAGACATTTGTATGTGGTTGAAACTAGTTGTGAGGACATGCTTGGTGGACAAATAGTTCTACATATATACAAAGGAAAATGGTAAAATATCCGTTTCAAACCAAATATTGGTAATAATGTGTGGTTATTTCTTATTTAGGAAAGGTGACCCACCCCTTAATGATTTCTGTTACCCTCATTCTTTAGTCACTGACAAACCATTCATTCCCATGAGCATTGAATTTGTGTGCTTTTCCAGCGCAGCCTGGGTGGAGCATGAATAGAACATGAACTTGAATCATGATTTTTAACAATGTTTCAGCTTTTTTTATTGTTTATTTATTCATTTTTATATTTATCATTTTTTAATTAATATACAGATATTGGTGACCTTCTCCCAAGTTAGAGCAGTGCGTTGTTTTCGTTGTGTACTCTTTTTTTTAATGAAAAGCATTTTTCTGAGCAGAAATCATGGTTTTATCCAACTCTTCTTTGCCATGACATCACACTGGTGTCAGATATGATCAGATCTGCTTTAAACACTACAATGGGGAAGAAGCTTGGGAGCCATAATCAGAACAACTGCAGAGAGTCACTCAACATTAGGGCTGGACAGAGGCGGACACCGCAGTTCAACTGTGTTTGGCCCTGGAAGGACAATCACTTCAGGACTTGCTTGTGACCTCATATCGCTGACCGCTCCTCTCCAGCAGCAGCAATGTCCAGGGCAATATCCTAGCAAACAAAAAGAACTGAAGCTGGTGGGTTTGTGTGGATTACGAGTGGCTCAATGTAACTAAGTAAATAAGCCTGACTCTTATCCACTCACATGGATGCTGTGGTCCAGCTTGCCGACTTCTCAGAGTTCAGTTCACTGGAAATGGAGAGTGTGTACTTGCTCTAAACACACAGTGTTCATGTTTGGCACCGGACTATGGCATTTCACAGTAATGGCCTCCGAAATTCACCAGATACATTCAGGCAGCTGATGGATCAAGTGCTCACCAGCATCCCCAAGGACTGGTGCATCACGTTTTCCAGGTGTGGTGGGGCTGCACCAGTTCCAGTCCTACCTGTATGGTGTCCCCTTCATGTTGTGCACTGATCATGCCTCCTTTGATCTGACTCATGTAGTTGAAAGAGCCTGTGGGTCAGGTAGTGAGGTTGATCACGGTGCTACTAGAGTACAACTTATCCGTTCAGCATCATGCCAGTCACCTATATGGTAATACCAGTGTCTCATCGCCTTTGCTCAGGGGAGGAGTCCCAGTATTAAGCATCCCTTGAGGAGAAAGCTGAGATAGTGGAGAGGAGAGCTGTGGCCATGGCTGTTGCTCCTGGTTGTACTGGACTCCATAAGCTCTTAGGAGTTCTGTTGTGTCTAGGAGGAAGACGCTGAACCCTCCTTTAGCGTACCGCTGGCTCCAGGTGGGGCACACCAGAATGGACCGATGTAACACTGCATGGGTCCACTGCCAAGGTGCTCCGCACTGGTTGTCTCCAGTTGCAAAAGGGGTTGTTGTACCACATGTGGGAGGAGCCATTGCCCAGTGAGCACCTCTGGCATTTGCTGGTGCCACCCAGCCTCTGTAAAACAGTGGTGGGAGTGGTGCATGGGGAAGCTGCTGTGGGGCACTTTGGGGTGGCTGTGGCAGAGATTCTACTAGTCAGGCTGCTGCTTGGTGCTGAAGCCATCACACGTTCCACTGCAGTCCCTCTGCTTTGGTAACCCATTGGCTGTTTTGTGTTATTGGTATGGTGACCATTGGCTGGTAGCCTAAGAGCAGTGTTAGAGGAGTTAGAGCAGTGTGTTGTGTGCTTTTTCTGCTGTTTTGTTAACAAAAAAGCTTTTTTTCCAAGTAGAAATCAAGGCTTCACCTGACTCTTCTTTGCCACAGCATCACAATATTCATAATAAAATAAACCTAATTTGTAAACATGTTCAGCAATAATTCTTGGAAACAATAATCCTAATCCTAATCTATAACTTGCTAAATTCAATACATAGATAGGGCTTACAGAACTGCAGTCGAGTTCAACAGGATTCTTCAGATTTTCTCACACAAATTTGAATGGAAAGCCAGTGTTGGAAGAAATTTACATACATTTTCATCTTGATCAAGACAAATTATAACTGCAAATTATTTTTTGCTGCCATACTTTGAGAATCGGTTTAGACAGCTAAATCTGAGTTGAGCTCTGTTGGTGCTTGGGTTTCAGCTCTGGTGGATTGGATCTCATTTGTTTGTGTTAAAACAGCGATGTCCAATCTAATCCAATAAAGCAGGACTACACATGATCAATTGTTTGCAGACTAAGACCCACTGATTACACAATAGGAAGAAAGCCGACAGCCACACTTACTCTTTGTGGATAAGATTGGACACCCCTGGTCAAAACTTTGATAGAATGATTTTGATTATTTGGTGTTCAAGTCTAGGTTGTGGTAGACTACCTCTGGTTGATTGGTATTTGGGTTTAGACTCTGGTAGACTGAATCTGATCAGTTGGTGTTGGGGTTTAGGCTCTGGTAGACTGTATTTGATCAGTTGGTTTTGGTGTTTAGACTCTGGTAGACTGAATCTGATTGGTTGGTGTTGGGGTTTAGACTCTGGTAGACTGAATCTGATTGGTTGGTTTTGGGGTCCAGGCTCTGGTAGATTGGACCCATGCTGATGTTGTTCTGGTTGTGAGGAAGATCATTTTCATAAATCACCATCAGCCTGCAACCACTGTAAGACACACAGTGAAAAAATAACTTAAAACCTTAGTCACATTACATTCATTCATTCATGCAGAATAATTCCCAATGTGGCCTTTAAACCAAGAGTTTCCAACTCTGGCCGTGAAGATCTACTGCTGTGGAGATTTCAGGTTAAACACAACTGGCATTAATATTTAGATACTTCACAAGTCCTTGGTCATCTGGATCATCTTCCAAAGCATCTTCCAAATGCCAACACTTACAGACCCTGTAGCATCATAAAACAGTGCTGAATACTACTGACGTACGCTTTTACATTTTAAAACAGTTCATATTTGGTTATAATGAGACGCAGGTTTAAGACTCTGATTTTAATGGGTCTTTTCACTCACAGTGTTCTGTATTCTTCTCTCATTGTTTGTAGAGGCAGACCCTGCAGAACAATTGAAGATTAAAAAGCTGTATTTCACAAGAGTGGTGAATTTATTCTTCAACAGAGGAAATATTTCATAACTGGGATCTAATTTATACTCATATTAAAGTATTACATTCCTACCAAAGCTGCTTTTATGAGCACAGGATGGTTTTTCAGGACTGAAGTTAAGCCTAAGCCTGAACTTAAACATAATTATGAACTGTGTTTATGGGTGTGTGTGTAGTACCTTGTGTCCTATTGTGACTCCATTTATAGAAGATCAGTACTGATCCTCCAAACAGCAGCAGAGCCCAGACAAACACAATGATGAGAGAGTAATCTGTAGATGAGGGAAAGAGATGAAGAATAATGTTAATTATGGTGAAGAATATTAAGAAGGTTAATTAGCATTAAAAGACATTCTGAAACCATAAAAAGATGAATGTATCTGTGTCTGGTGATGATTAAGCAAGTTACACTATATTGCCAAAAGTATTCACTCACCCATCCAAATCATTGAATTCAGGTGTTCCAATCACTTCCATGGCCACAGGTGTATAAAACCAAGCACCTGGGCATGCAGACTGCTTCTACAAACATTTGTGAAAGAATGGGTCGCTCTCAGGAGCTCAGTGAATTCCAGTGTGGTACCATGATAGGATGCCACCTGTGCAAGTCCAGTCGTGAAATTTCCTCACTACTAAATATTCCAGATCCTTCTCCGTCTGGTAATCCGATGGACGAGTCTGGGTTTGGTGGTTGCCAGGAGAATGGTACTTGTCTGCCTACATTGTGCCAAGTGTAAAGTTTGGTGGAGGGGGGATTATGGTGTGGGGTTGTTTTTCAGGAGTTGGGCTCGGCCCCTTAGTTCCAGTGAAAGGAACTCTTAATGCTTCAGCATTCCAAGAGATTTTGGACAATTTTATGCTCCCAACTTTGTGGGAACAGTTTGGGGAGTCTGGCCCCTTCCTGTTCCAACATGACTGCGCACCAGTGCACAAAGCAAGGTCCATAAAGACAAGGATGAACAAGTTTGGTGTGGAAGAACTTGACTGGCCTGCACAGAGTCCTGACCTCAACCTGATAGAACACCTTTGGGATGAATTAGATCGGAGACTGCAGGCCAGGACTTCTCGTCCAACATCAGTGTCTGACCTCACAAATGCGCTTCTGGAAGAATGGTCAAAAATTCCCATAAACACACTCCTAACCCTTGTGGAAAGGCTTCCCAGAAGAGTTGAAGCTCATATGGCTGAAAAGGGTGTGCCGACATCATATTAAACCCTATGGATTAAGAATGGGATGTCACTCAAATCCATATGCGTGTTAAGATGGTAAAAGTCCCCAGTGACGATGAACATGTTTACTGATTTACGTCATGCAACCCACAGCAGGACACTAGTGTTCCCACATGGACACATAACTGAACTTTAAAACATGCTGGGTGATGTACTTTATCTGATGTTTAACTCCAGCAACAACAACCAATTCCTCCATGTTCCTTCATTACCAATAAGGCACAACACATTATTCATTACTAATAATTACTATATTCATTGTTAATACATTGTTTCTAGAGTTCTAACTGTATTGTAAAGTGTTACCAAAAGAAGTCAATAAACAAGTCTATATTGCTGTACTGTAGTATCTTATCAGACTGATGTGTGATTCTGCTGCCTCTGTTGTTGATTGCACACAGAAAAACAGAAAAAAGGGGGGTTTGTCTTTCCACATTTCCACAGTATTTTAATTAAAATCACTGTGTATGTCACTAGAGTTAAAACATTTCTTTAATTATCGAAGCAGATTAAGTTGATTAAGTAGATGGTTATTAAACATCATCATCAAAAAAGCAGATATTAAAAAAAAGATATATTCTTATGCTCTGAGAGTCTTTACAGTTTGAAATAAGAGTATGAACTACCTTTAATGCTGAGGCTGATGTTGATGGACTGTTTGTTGTTGATTGAACATCTGTATGTTCCCTGGTCTTGTTCAGTCAGGTTGGAGATCAGTAGAGAGAGATTTGCTGGAAGGTTCTTATTAAACATCTGGACTCTGCCTCTGTAGAGTTCTGTCTCATTGGATACCTCAGTCCCTCCTGAGTCTACATGCTCCCATTTCACACTTACAGATTTGGTGTGTTGGTCAGTGCAGGAGCAGGGCAGGAGAACAGACTCTCCTGGATATTTGTGAATGTCTTTCTCCTGAGTCTCTGACAGTGTGCAGCCTGCAGGAACATAAAGCAGCACAGTGTTTCTGTTCTGTTCATTACTGTATTATGTGTTTAATGGTGAGTAAAAATGTTCTGTTTCCTCAAGAAAAGGTTTGAACTGCAATATCATTTTTCGTTATATTGAAAATGATTAAATTACAGTACTTCATAACACAAATCAGTCATATTCTGATTACAAAGCTAATTTAGCTTCATTTTATGACCTAATCAACCAGCTAATGCTGAGTCCAAAACACGAGTGCCTGAACCTGAGTGCATTACCCAGAATGTGTTGTTAAGGACGTAACTAAGAAGGCAGAGGTAGTGTGGCTGTATCGCTGACTAGACTAGCTACTGAAGCTAATGTTAAGCCCTTCAAATCTCAGGCTCATGACATACTAAGGCTTATTACTCAGTACAATAATTCAAACTGGCTGAGTTATTCTTAGGCTATAGAAATGTGTAGTAAAACCTTGGGTCCACTGGTGGACCCTGGCCAATAAAGGGGTTATCATGGTCCAAAACCTTCTTGGTCTGATGTGAATTCCAGTGCACTGCTAGTTTTGCTTCATGATTACTATATAACTTAATTACATTACACACTTTAGTGCTTAACAGAAAACACAATGAGCTCCCTGGACAAAACAATTATTGGATTAATTTTTCTTTTCTAATATTTGGTTTAGCATGCAGTTGCCTTAATGATAGCGCCAGTCTTGGCAGATACATGTTACACCAATCTCCTCTCAGCTTTAAACCAATCTCCTCTCAACTTTACATCAATCTCCTATCAACTTTACATCAATCTCCTCTCAACTTTACACCAAACTCCTCTCAACTTTACATTAGTCTCCTGTCAATTTTACACTGATCGCCTCTCAACTTTACACCAGACCTCTGGCAACTTTATACCAGTCTCCTGTCAACTTTACACCAATAAACTCCCTGAAAAAAAAAAAAAGTATAATTGTATATCTATATATTTATTAGTTGTTGTTTAGTTATTCCTAACAGTACATTTAAGGGCATATTTAAATATGTATTATGAACAAATACAATTAGTTTTATATACAAGTCTATTCAGTTATATTGAAATAGAATATTAAATGCTTTTAAGTGCATTTAGTTGCAGTAAAACTCAATAAGTAGCACTGTAGTGTATTAGTACATCTACTACTATATATTTATATTATAGTCCAAGTGTAATAACAGTTCTGTTTATGTATGAAATATTTAAATCTACTTAATGGCGTCTTGAATTGAAGTAATCAACAGAATAACTATTTGCATTTAATATATATTTAATCACTGTTTATTTACAAATTAAATACATTTCAATTGTCATAAATTGTCAAAAAAACAATACTGTTGTCGTAACAAAACCTTGGTCCATTCATCATGAAATTAACACACAATGTAAAGGACAAAGTGGACTTTCAAATTATGTTAAAGACTGAAAAATGACAAAGCTGTTCTTGATCTTGATATTTCACCCACAAATGTGGAATAAATCATAATACAGCACTGATGATTCTTATATGCATAAAGCTCACTCACAACAACATTTATCACAACAAAAAAGAAAACTCATGAAAGTGGCCTACAATGCGTTTAGCAACATAATTCTTCATTTGAAAATGCTATTATTAAATAGAAATTGAAATATTGTAAAGTTTGTCTGAAACATAAAGAGATTTTTGAGAAGAAATTAAAATACCCCTTATGTCTATAAATGCAACTATTGAATATTTTGATTTTTTATAATAGTCTACAGAAAATTATATTTGAATATTTAAATATTCAATAAGCATAAGAAAAGCTCAATGTATGTTTATCTTTAATAACTGAATGAAAAAAGCTTTTCTTTTTCTTCTAATTATTGTGCACTATTTCATTATTATTTTAATTTTTATTATTTTATTATTTTATTATTTTTATTTTTATTATTTTATTTTAATCAATTATTTGCTGATACTGATATGATTCTGTTATCATATTCCTGTACCATTTATTAACTGTACAGTACAGTAATATTACACATTCAGTATCATCACTTTATGAAATATTACTGAATATTTGATGAAGCTCATGCACAGTTTACTGTTATGTATAGAAATGTGAAATGTCATTTGTATCAGTCATGAACGCTGTTTAAGTGTTACTGTGGTTTCAGTAATGAATGTAACATAAGTGTCTTTGAGCATCATGTGCTTAGAACCACCTTTCTAGCTTGAAACAAAGAAATATACATTTTAATGAGTTCATGATCATATCTTCAAGTTTATACTCCACAGTGTGTTTTCAGATCATTACATGTTCATTTTTCATTAATGCATGAATTTACTTAATGTTTTAAAGCTGATATAATTGTAATGAAATGATATTGTACTGTTTATGATCATGAATGTGTCGTGTACATGTAGTTACTGTATATCAGTTAACCGAGTACTCAATAACTTTATTATATACTTATTATAACCACTTAAGGTACTATGTAATAACTAATAATTCATGAACATTTAACTAATACAGCAACGGGAAAATCAATGACTTATCAATAACAATCATTTAATAAAAAGTGTCAGGTTGAAGAAGTAAAATCTGCAGTGGTGAAAGTAAAGAGGTGTAGGAACTGATGGAGGAATGTAACTTCAGCAGCTCTACTGACCTATAAAACATTCATCGACTGCCCAACATCCACGCTAAATGCATGAAATGCATGTTCTGTACAGGAGCACGGCAGCTCCACAGAATCTCCAGCAGATTTGGTGATGGTGTCTCCGATACCTCGCTCTACGGTGCAGCCTGCAGAAACACCACATCACCAAGAACTTACATTATATTCAGAACATATGAACACTCATGATCTCTGAACACACTGCAGGATTTTAGCTCTTATTTCACTCTCTAGACAACTTTTCAGGGTTTGGTATGAAAACAGCTTCTCAGAGGTTCAGCTGAAGCTGATGGTCAGAACAGACTGATCTCTTAGTCCAGTCCTGTACTCAGAAATGCAGGAAGGTGTTGGTGGTGCTGAAGTTTTAAGCAGGATATATGTGAATGATGACGCCATGTAAAAGGATTTACCCTTTTTCATGAAATCAAACAGAATGTGTCATAAAGTGCTTTAATGTGTTCAGAGACAACAAAAAAAAAAAAACACATATAACTGACACTTCAAACTGCTGATGCACATCCTCTTTTTGCCGTCTCGTTCTGGACAAAAGTCATGCAAATGAACTGAATGGTGATCAATCATATAGTTGAGGTGTGTCTTGGTAATCAATTGTGTCGCCCACAGTCACACACTAAGATTTAACACTGGGACCCACATCAAACAGGAGATTTGACTGTAATTTATAAAATCCTTATTGCATTAGATTATTATACTTTTATTATACTTTAAGCTAATTAAAGTTAAGTAAGGAAACCCTAAACTGCTCAATCAAAGCTTATAATCAAACAATACATCTCTTACAGTAAACATACAGTTCAGTAAATGATAATATTAAAAATGTGAGTAAATAGCCAGACAGCTACTGCTATAAAAAATAGTCAAAATAATCAAATTATTCAGCTAGAAAGCTGCCACTGTAAAAACCTGTCAGTTAACTAGACATATATTATTGTAAAAAAAATTGTCAAACGAAACTAAAGTGTGAAAAACTGGAAGTCGGTAAAAGTTAATAATATTGTGAGTGCGCCCCCTGCTGTTTAACAGAGTGTAATCACTCCCCAGTTTCAGTTTCCATTTCTCAAAGCTTTAACCAGCATGTGAGCTGCACTAAAGCTATTCATCCTAATAAACACACACACATTTAACTCAGTCTCATGTAGAGGTAACAGAAGTACTCAAGTCCCTTACTTAAGTAAAGGCACTATTAATATAGTTAAAAAATGCTCATACATTGTATTTGGACTGCCTGCATTATTGTCCACAAACATTCACTCATGCTTACTACGTTTGATTTTCTGTACAAGAATTTGAGATGTACATTGTTGAAATCTTTACTAAGACTATTGCTATTTATTTTAACTGCCAAAACACCAGATCAAATAATCCCTTTAAGTAAGACCAGGGCCGGAGTGGGACTTTCATACTGGGAGTGCTAAAGTCCTGCAATGTCATTACATCAGGCTAAAGGCTTTCCTAACATCAGTGCAGTCATCACTGTACAATCAGAAACCTGGATTCACACAAACACAGCCAACACTGCGGCACCTTGACTGTACGTCATTCACCTGCTGACCACAGACACAACTTCTGTCCAGAGAAGACGACAAAACCAAGGTAAAATCAGACACTTAAACCTACAGAACTGCCACAGCTGGCAGACCCAAATGAAGATGACATGCATGTTAAATCAAACAGCTGATAAACAACACAGCAATCTTAAAAACCTAAACCTCATCATCATAGCCAAAAGCATGTCACCATGGCAGGCATGAAACTGTTTATGGTCCATTTTAGAAGTTAGATGTTGGTGCTGACATTTTCACAGAGCTCATGCCAGCTTTTGCAGTAAAAGAGCATTTTGTAAATACCAGACTCACAGAAAACTGGCGATGACATTATTTACATTGATTTTTGCCTTTAGACGAGGAGAAAACAATTTACTTTAAGAGCAGATATGCTAGATATGCTTTAGGACGCCATCAGTTAATATTTTAACCTCAATCAGCTTCAAACTCATAGACTGGAATGCTGATAATGAACTGAAGGTTTAAGGCAAATGTAATAAACTCTGTAGAGTTGCCTGTTCTGTTCAGCCAACAATAAACTCGATAGTATTGTGGGCAGATTCACACAGTCACGCTTATTTCTCAAGGCTGAAGTTAACTTCTTCTTCGATTTTCCACCTTAAAGATGTCCCACCTTAAAATGTCCAGTGCCACACTAGATTTCTATAAACATGTATAGATAAACAAATATGGAAAACTCTGCACTAAAACAAGCACACATGGTTCTTTACTACTGTAGCGACAGTCATTAGAAGAGCTATTGGAAACATCAGGTACATAGCAACTAGCCAAACTCATGGGGAAGATCAGCAACAACCACACACTTAAAGTTAGCTGTTAATGCTGGACTTCCTCCAGGAGAGTTTTAGAAATGGTTAAACACACTTTAGGCCTGAGGTGTTTCAGATTGTCTCTGTGTGAATCATCATTAATGTAGTGCTTTTCTCCAGAACTGTGTTTAGTCTCTATCTACAGAACTGGATCAACATTGTTTCCAGTGTTGAGCTTCTGTTTAAGCGTCTCAGTGACTTGAGAGTGTTTTGAGTCTATAAGAGAGGCCAGAACTGGAGCCTGTATAAATATAAAGCAGCACTGAACGGAACATTAAAGAACCAGCTTTGATCAGTTTCAGACAAGAACACAGTCAATCCTTAGAAAAGGAGATCAGACAGAGAGGAGAAAGAGCCAATAAAGACATGAGAATAACAACATATCTAGAACCTGAACTTTTCTACATTTCATCTACAGTTCACTGTCTACAGTTCACTACAGTAAAGCAGTGATACACATGAAGAATAACTCACACAGTCGTGTAGACTCACCTGAAGATTCCTGCAGCAGAGAGTAGAGCAGAAACACACAGAGCCACATCTTTACTGAGAGAACAGTACTGTTCACCTCTCTCTCTCTTTCTTTCTCTCTCTCAGCAGTGTCCACTCTGAGAGTGCGAGAAGTGAAACGGGTGTTTTTCCTCTCCAGCTCTCTGACCACATCCTGAGAAAAGCTTCTGCTTTTTTCTGCTGAGAGCTGCAAATAATGAGATTAAATGCATGTAAATAAATTGCACTGTATTTTAATTCTGCTGTTGTTCATTTACTGTAATAGAATGTTATACAGCAGATATTACATGCTGTCATAAGCTGTCATGACAGGTTATTAAATGTTATCATTACCTGTAATTACTGATATGATAATGTTTGATGTTGTGACAGCTAATATCACATGATAATTTAAAGTACTGATATCAAACAATGTAACATCTTTCATGACAATTAACGCTACCAGTAGCATGACATTGTTACACAAATCGACATAATCTGTCATGGCAGCATATGTCATCTTCTATGGCATGATTATGTCAGTGCTCTGTAGCAGGAGAGCCATCAAAGTGATACCTTTTAATATCAGTTACTTACAGTGAATTTGTGTAATGAAAGTTTTAAAATGATGTAACTAAAATGTAGAGTTATTGTACTGTTCATATATATGTCCTGAATGCTTTATGTACATGTATTAACTGTAAAATGCTCCCCTTTTAACTGTAAATTATGAATAAAGCTAATTTCAGCAGTGCAGGTTTGTTAGTATTTGTTCCCCAACTGTGAGCATCTCATAACAAAATCTCTTAATGATCAGTAACTAAACACTAAAGTAATAATCTACTGGATTGTATCTGGAACTTTTTGATTGGAAAGTTTTGTAACTGAACTTGACTGTCTAAACATAAAGAGTTAATAAACGTATCTGTCCACTCAAAACAAATTCCATTCAGTGCACACAGACTTTATTGCCTCAACTTAAAGTACTGATGGAACAGAACTGAAACATTTCAGTGCAGTTTATTTGAGTTTCATTGAGTCGAACAGTTTTCATTCACTGAAATGCACTTTCTTTGTCCATTTTACAAAAAGTAACTACAACACATATTTACAGTTTGTAAGTCCAACAACCGTGTTGGTTCTTTTGAGTGTAAGTTGAACTATCATCACGGAGCTGGTTTAATGTCATATCATCCCTGTTGCTCTCTCGTTCTTCACCCACTGCAGTGGACAGTCAGAATGTTCACTCCTCATTGACATTGGAAACAGAGCTGCTGGAGGTCTTGCTACATGCCTAAAGAAACAAAATGTACTGTCTTCCTACTATCATCTCACCATCACTTCAGGGCTGAAGTGAAAAATGGTACATTTGTGGGTGGAGCTTCAGTTGGTCCATTTTGGCGCAGCTCCTCAAACAGGCTTTCTGTTTATGTCAGTATTTCTCAGAAAACCTAAATGTCCGAAGCCATATTCTTAATATTAATGTACTGTTGACCATGGGCTGCTTTGCTGTGAGGAGTTTAGCGGGTGTGGCCATGCAAAGTGGCTCTCATGATGTTCCAGGCTCCTGGGTTAAAAAGACAAATTTGTTGTTGTTGATTTTGTGCTGCTGTTAGTGTAGTTGGTTTATTTGTAGTGAATTGTGTCTTTTGTGTGTGTGTTTGCCCACCCTCCACATGTCCTGCATTACCCCCTTCCCGGGTTCATGTCAGGGTAGCGCTGGGCAATTCCTCACCTGTTGAAGTGCCTGTTCAGAAATAAAAGAGCATTTGCTCATAGGTGCGATGTTGTCTGCATGATTCAGCGTATATCTGCCAAAAGACTGACTACAGTTACTGCTGAATCTTAAGCAGTCCAGGGGACTGACTGAGAATAGAATTAGGAGTAATATTGTTGGAACAGATTGACACAGTCTATTAAGCTACAGTCTCATGCAAAGGTTGGGCGCACGTGCTGTTGATTTTCTAGGTGAAAATAAGTGACCACAGCCTATACACACTTTTGCACAAGCTATCCTTCTTTCTGACAGGTTTACTCAACCCTAACCCAGGATTACACTACTGTTACTCATGCAAACATGGTGTATTCTTTTCTCGAGGATCCAGTGGACATTGAATGTGTGATTAGATCCAGATTAGACATCCTGTCATTTCCTGATGAATATCTCTGTGAACATTATCATTTTTCATAACATTCAATGATATACACAAACAACATTCTTTAGCCACACATTGTGGATGAGCCCTCAATTATCAGCAGATTGTGTGTATCGCTCTTCAATTTTTTTTGCCACTGCCAGTTTTCTGTACAACATAGCAGATGCTGAACACATTGGCAAGGTGACTGTATTTCGGTCCATCTGAATAGTATGTCTAGCATTAAAATGCTTTGTGCACAATTTTATTGTGTTCCCTGGGTACAAGCGAGTACTTCACATCAAATAGGAATTACACAAAATCACAGGTTTGTCTTTATTAACAAAGAAGAAAAAAGAAAAGGAGAAAACACAAATGGGAAGCAACAAACAGTAACTTTATTCAAACTTCCAGGATTTGCAAGGGTCACTGAACCCACATTCCCATTACTGCACCTTCAGAAAGTAAACAGAAAACCCTTCCACAGCATTAATGTACAGGCAGTGACTATTATAGCCTCAATAAAAATCAGCACTTGATAATGTACTGCAACTCACTGTTCACCTCCTCTATCAAGATCATATATCACAGTCATGCTACAACCTGGCCCACTGCAGAACTACAGCAAGGGTTTAAATGACCCTATGGATCCTCAAGGCCAGGTTCCAGTTCCTGCGGGGCTTAGATTCAGATAGGGCATGTGACACTATAATGGCGTGTGTGGTATTACACAACATTGCCACCATCATAGGAGAGCGACACCCAGCCATACCCCAAATATATGCTGAGGAGGAACCTCCATGTAGCTGACCTTAGAGATGGTAAAGTTGTCAGAGACACAATTTGCAATCAGTTTTTCTCCTATTTACTGCTACATTCCTGTGCTTTTACCCATCTGCCCTATAAGAAGCATATGTCAATAAATACATTTTCTGTTCAGTTTCATGATTTCTTTATTTCCTGTGAATAAAAATACGAATGGCTATAAGTTAATTTGCTTTGCCATTATTCTTTAGTAAGATAACATTCCTTTTTACACACCCACAGCACCTAAACCCACCTTTAACTTATACTCAAACAACTCAATTTGTAGCCTTGCCTTTGTGATCTGAAGCTTGATGTGCTTCATCTGAGATGAAAGCTCCTTTACAGCTTAAAAGAGACAAGAATGGCATGTTATGGTCAAAAATAGCATTGCATGTTCTAAATATTTCATATATTTGGTAAGGCACATGAAGATGCCTTACAGTTCCAAGCTGAGCTCTGCAGGAGGATCGTCCTTCATCTGCTTGGGAATGGCTGGCAACATTCTGTTAGAGTATAGTCTAATAAATAAATGTTAACAAAATAATAAATGTTCCCTTAATGACTAATCAAATACATTAGATATTGTAATCAATAACCAAATAGGTAGTATTGCCTAACAGAGAATATACATTCTCTCACAAAAGGTCAACCTTAGTCTAGAAGCATAGAAGCATAGACGATTCTAGACAGTGGAAAGCCCCTGAGAGGCCTGTGTGTACCTACTGACCCAGTGAAGAGAGGGGCAAATTGAAACCTGTTCTTAGGAGTGAGCTCATCATGCGATGGCCAAATTGATGGATGAAGAAATGCACCTATTAGGGAATGAGCAAATATCAAAATTTGAGAAGTAAGGCAGGGGGATATCAAACTACCCCAGATATATGGGATATAAACTGTTGTTTGGGACACTTTGTGCAGTTGGGGGCTCTCGGGACACCTGATGCTAAAATAAAGTAGAAGCCTTTTTCCGTCTTCCACAAACTCATCATCCGAAGACTCTTTCCTTCTTGACATCTTTTGAGAACTTAGACTTAAAACAGTTATTAGTGAAAGTGTTTAGCTGGTATTAATTTTTTTTTTTATTCTTAATATTATGTTGGAGGCCTGGGGTTGAAGAGGACATTAGGTTAGGATGGGCCAGAACTGGAGCCTGTATAAATATAAAGCAGCACTGTATGGAACATTAAAGAACCAGCTTTGATCAGTTTCAAGCAAGAATACAGTTAATCTTTAGAAGATATTTATAATATACTGTGACAGCTTCTGTAATGTATTGCTCCTCAGTCTGGCTGTGATGCAGTATCTGGGCTGAGGTGGTGGACAGCTGTGTGATTGTGACAAAGTCTCCGTAAAGCTGTTCTCAGATTCTCTCTTTCTCTTGTCCTCCAGCTCTCTAAAATAAATAAGAAGTATTTTTTTTATAAATATAAAAAATAATTATTTATATTATTAAATTAAATTATTTAATTTAATTATTGACCCTTGTTTCCTGCTCTTACTTCACTGCATATCAGAGTAGGACATAAAGTCACAATTCTCTATTTATGCCCCCCAGTGTTTAATCCCAGTTGGCGCTCATATTTGCAGTCCTCGTTTTGTTGGATAGAGTTGATTTTGTCAGTGTCGTGTTGTTCACTCTAGCATAGCATTATGTAGACAGGTCATATATGATGTTAGTGTAAAATACCATAAACGTTTTTAGTTTATTAGCTTTTTGTTGCCATTTAAACTGGTTACCATGGAAGTCAAACTGATTATTTGAATTACTCTCTCTCTTTCTCTCCACCCCCCCCTCCGTTCTGCTCTGTTTTTCTTTACTGCTCATCCCGTTCTAAACCTACACGTCTTCCTCAAGCAACTAAACCAGTCCAAACCGGTTTTAGTGAAAGTGAAACTCAGCACTCCGTTTAGAGAAGAGAGGAACATAAACAACTTTAGGCAAGAAGCATGGCGAGTCTTGGTGAACAGTGACCTTTCTGTGATAAGAGGATTAAAAAGAGTTACTGCATTTAAAATCAACTAATATGTACTGCAATATACTTCCTGACTTGATGACCAGAGACTTTTCATTTAGAAGATGGAAACATCCACGTCAGATCACAGCGGTTCTGTTCAGAGCAACATGATAGCTCACACAGGAGGAAACATCTGTCACACTGTACTCCATGGAAATAATATTCAAGGCTCGGTGAATTTGACCATTGTTCAGGGAGGTAAGTGATTCAGTATTAGAAACTGTTTTAGGTTATATATAAGCTGTACATCGTATGTGCATGCACGGATGGTGATAAAACATTTATGCATCACACTGTTCAATAGTAGTATACAGAAATACAATTGACTAACTGCTTTTAGTTTTAAGTAGCTTTGATAAAGATCTGATTATTTCCAGCTATTTCTCTTCCAGGTCAGGATATTTCTTGTTCCAGCACCAGTACAGTTCAGCCTAGAGGCTCTCCTGGTGCTTCTACTCTTACTGAAGGTAATGTCTTAAAGTGCACATCACTGTTTATTTACTACCTATTAATTTCTGTAAATGGCCATTTTCTCCATCGCATTAAACCAAGACAATATCAACAGGGAAAACATGATTAAGAACCCTAAAATACGTGTTAATGACAGGAAATCAAATAATTTTTTTTGCCGTGGTGATTCTTAAGAATCCACTGTGTTCTCTGATTTGGCAGCTGAAACTTTTTTTTTCTTTCTTTTTTTTTCGCCAAACATCAAAGTCCAAGGTCCATTAGAGGAACTACACATATGTATGTAATTTCTGTTTACCTTGTAGAATCTACAAGTTTTGAATAAGACCGAATATAATTGGTAACATTGATCAGACATTTTAATTAAGATCAACAGAAACAGACTTTCATGTCAAAGTAAACATCTCTGCAAAGTGATTTTAATCAATTACAAATATAAAACACAAAGTTTCTGACTGCATAACTGTTCACCCCCATCAAGTCAGTATTAGATGCATTAGATGCATTTATTAGATTAGGCAGCAAACACAGCCTTGAGTCTGTGTGGATACAGACTCAGTTTTGCACATTTGGTCATTGAAATGTCTCCCCTCTCTTTGCAAAATCCACTGCTCAAACTTTGTCAGGTTGCATGGCAATCATGAGCGACCAGCCTACAGCCTATATTTTGCTTAATTATTTCTACTTTGCCAAGCCTTCCATAACCTGCTACAGTGAAGCATCCCCACACTTTGATGCTGCCACCACCATGGGAGATGAGGAGTCATCCTACCCATCCAAAAAGAGCAAGGCCAATTGTACTCTTGAGGACTCCAGTTCATGGACGGCTCTAGCATCACCAAGTTGCAATCTCCTGATGATAGGGCCAACAATTAGACTGTTGTGCCACTCGGGAGCCCCAGACAGTCTGTTTTTAGCAGATTTACATATGCTTTCCATTTCTTAATGTCTGATTCTACTGTACTCCAGGGGATGTTTAATTACTTGAAATTTTCTTGTACCCACCCCATGACTTTAGCTTTTCAATCATCTTGCCACAGTTGCTTGAAGTGTTATTGTCTCTTGAAAGTGTAGCTTAACATAGGTTAGGTTAACCTTATGATACTACCCCAATAGAACCAAGGCTGCCCAGATACAGCTGTATTTATACTGCAACCTCTTGGAAGACTGCACACACAGGAGATGTCCATTCAATGAATTATGCCACTTTTAATACCAACTAATTGCAACAAGTACACTGTAATCACGTACTTTGTGTTTTATATTTGCAATTCAAGTCACTATGCAGAGATGCTTTCATGAGTTTCTGTTGCTTATGGTAAAAATACACAATAAATCCACATTGAATCCACTGTGATTCAAAGTTCTATGAGAATAAATGGGGTGAATATAAGTACTATATTTCAGCATTAATAATACTTAATACAGTATTAATTGGAGTTTTTAACCTCCACACAGGTTTATGACTGCATTTTCCTCTTTTTGCACCCATCAGCCCATGCACTCTCAATAGAGACTGTGTATAAATAACCTTAATTTTTGGGATCATTGTATTTCTTTGTGAAAGTGAATTAAGTATAGTTTCATCACATCATCACACGACCTATAGCAAGATGTAGTGGTTAATACTCCAGACACAAACACTTCAAAACAATCCTGAACACTTTCGAACATTAAAACATTTATTGTTGTTGTGGTCTGTGTCAGGTATTAAAATAAAAAAAAAAATTAGATCCAAAATAATGAAGATTTAATGAAGGACAGTCCACTTTTCTAATAAAACGTACACTGAAATTCGGCTTGAAACATTAGCGAACATTATAAAAATGTATTGTCTGTTTCCACTTCTCAGAGTTAATCAGTGAATATAAACAAAAACTGGAAAAGAAATATCGCAGCATTAATGAAGGAATCTCACAGCATGGAACAGCAACCTCTCTAAATGAAATCTACACAGAGCTGTACATCACAGAGGGAGGGAGTGGAGAGGTCAATAATGAACATGAGATCCGACAGATTGAGACAGCATCCAGGAGACCAGCAACACAGGAGATACCTATCAAATGCAATGACCTCTTTAAAGACAAATCCATCAGAACTGTGTTGACGAAAGGAGTTGCTGGGATTGGAAAAACAGTATCAGTGCAAAAGTTTATTCTGGACTGGGTTGAAGGAAAAGCAAATCAAGACATTCTCTTCATATTTCCACTTCCTTTTAGGGAGCTGAATTTGATAAAAAAACAGTTCAGTCTTATGGAGATTCTTCATCACTTTTTCCCAGATACAGAAAAACTAAAATCAATAAACTGTGATGCTTGCAAAGTCATGTTCATCTTTGATGGTCTGGATGAATGTCGACTTCCTCTAGATTTCCAGAACAACGAGGAAATGGTAAAGGGGAAGGTAACAGATTCAAACTCAGTAGATGTGCTGCTGACAAACCTTGTAAAGGGGAATCTGCTTCACTCTGCTCTCCTCTGGATAACATCTCGACCAGCAGCAGTCAATCAGATCCCTCCTGATTGTGTTGACCTGGTAACAGAGGTACGAGGGTTCAGTGACCCTCAGAAAGAGGAGTATTTCAGGAAAAGAATCAGTGACCAGGGTCTGGCCAATAAAATTGTCTCACACGTGAAGTCCTCCAGAAGCCTCTACATCATGTGTCACATACCAGTCTTCTGTTGGATTGCTGCCACTGTTCTAGAGGACATGTTCAGAGAAGCAGAGAGGGAAGAGATCCCCAAGACTCTGACTCAAATGTTCACACGCTTCCTGATTTTTCAGATCAAAAGCAAGGACCAAAAGTACCATGGAAAAGATGATCTTCAGAATACTCTGGCACTGGGAAAACTGGCTTTCCAACAGCTGGAAAAGGGCAATCTGATCTTCTATGAGGAAGACCTAAGAGAGTGTGGCATTGATGTCAATAAAATGTCAGTGTACTCAGGAGTCTGTACTCAGATCTTCAGAGAGGAGTTTAAGCTGCACCTGGGGAAGGTGTTCAGCTTTGTGCACCTGAGCGTTCAGGAGTTTCTTGCTGCTTTATATGCATTTCTCTCCTTCATCGGCAGAGATGCAACAAAACAGCTAATCACTGATCTTTCTGTTATTTTCCAAAAGTCCAAAATGTCAGACTTTCTCAAGTGTGCAGTGGACAAGGCCTTAAAGAGTAAGAATGGACACCTGGACCTTTTCCTTCGCTTCCTTCTGGGCCTCTCACTGGAGTCCAATCAGACTCCCTTACGAGGCCTACTGTCACAGACAAGAAACAGCTCCTACAAAAAAGATCAATTAGTGAAGTACATCAAGAAGAAGATCAGAGAGAATCCTTCTCCAGAGAAATCAATCAACCTGTTCCACTGTCTGAATGAACTGAATGATCATTCTCTAGTGCAGGAAGTACAAACATACTTGAACAAAAGAAATGAAAGTTTTGTTAGTCGTTTGCAGGGACTCAAATTCTCTCCTGTTCAGTGGTCAGCTCTGGTGTTTGTGTTGCTGAACTCAGAAGAAGAGCTGGATGAGTTTAAACTGGGCAAATATGACAGATCGGATAAAGGTGTTCTGAGCCTGCGGCCAATGATTGAAGCCTCCAGAAGAGCTAAGTGAGTATTTTCAGTCATAAATGCGTTACTGCAGTGTTAATTAATTTAATAAACACTGTGCTCTGTGAAGAGTGCAGTATCAGTGGTTACGCAAAAAAGTTTCCAACAAATTCCTGATTTATAAATGTGTGTGTACGTGTGTGTGTGTATGTAAAAAATAAAGTAACTTAATTTCTAAAAGTTTTATAACAAATGTGAATTGTTTTTATAGATATTGTCAGAAATTAGTATTTGAATGATATCAACACAGAACAATTGTAAAGTAAACTATTATTTTTCATAGCCATTTTTGAAAGATAGCTTACAAAGAAACGGCAACCAATGAGGGCAAAATTCATCTAGTTGAAAGTAATTTGCAGCCTTTGTGTGTGTGTGAGATGTCAGTTTTCTGATGTATCATCATTTCTCTTCTAGGCTGTGTTCCTGCGGTCTCACAGAAAAAGGCTGTGTAGCTCTGGCATCAGCTCTCAGCTCAAGCTCCTCAAATCTGAGAGAGCTGAACCTGAGTAATAATATACGGCTGGGGGATTCAGGAGTGGAACTGCTCTCTGCTGGATTGAAGAATCCACACTGTAAACTGGAGAAACTGGAGTAAGTTCAAAACTTTATCAGTATATATGTAGTGTATATATGACTGTCATTCTCTCTCTCTCTCTCTCTCTCTCTCTCTCTCTCTCTCTCCACACACACACACACACACACACACACACACACAAACTCTTTGATACTTTTGCATGGAGAGAGAGAGAGATGCTGTCGAGATAATGAATCATGTACAAAACACACTAATGTAGAATTTTCACTGAAAAAGCTCAATTGAAAACTTAACTATAAAAATAAAATCTTCACAGAAGTGCTCAGCTTTGCTGGCTGTCATCTAGATGCCAATGTATTTACTGGTAATGTTTCGGCCTCTGTTCACACATGAGGGAAAATAACAGCTCTGCTCATCAGGGAAATGACTCATGTTTCCAGTTTGCTTGGAATTTCATTTATAAGTCAGTAAGAGAAGTTTATAATAAATGCGAAATTTAACTGCCAACCAGTGTAGGGTTTTTGTTATATGCATAGGTATTTGTTATATGTGCGTCTTAGGACAGATCAGGATCTATTGTGACACAAAGATTTTTTACAGATGAACCTGATGCAACTGAGAAGTTTAAGCGTAAAATTAGACAGTTTGTTTCTAGCAGCTTTTGGACCTCTGTTTTATCTCAGTTAAGCAGGAGAAAGTTACTTGACATCCAGTCTTTTATGTCTTTTATACAGTCCTTGACCTTGGCAACTTTAATTTTATCCAGTGTGCTTGATATACAGTATCTCACAAAAGTGAGTACACCCCTCACATTTCTGCAAATATTTTATTATATCTTTTCATGGGACAACACTACAGAAATGAAACTTGAATATAACTTAAAGTAGTCAGTGCACAGTTTGCATAGCAGTATAGATTTACTGTCCTCTTAAAAATAACTCAACAAACAGCCATTAATGTCTAAATAACTGGCAACACAAGTCAGTACACTGCACCGTGAACAAGACCAAATCGTGCCCAATTGTGTTGTTGTCCCTCCCTGGTGTCATGTGACTCATTTGAGTTACAAGGTTCAAGGTGTGAATGGGGAAGCGGGCTGTTAAATTTGGTGTTTTGGGTACAATTCTCTCATACTGGCCACGGGACATTCAACATGGCACCTCATGGCAAAGAACTCTCTGAGGATGTTAGAAATAGAATTGATGCTCTCCACAAAGATGGCCTAGGCTATATGAAGATTACTAACACCCTGAAACTGAGCTATAGCCTGGTTGCCAAAGTCATACAGCAGTTTTCCTGGACAGGTTCCACTCAGAACAGGCCTCACCAGGGTCAATCAAAGAAGTTGAGTCCACATGTTCAGCGTCATATCCAGAGGTTGGCTTCAAAAAATGGACACGTGAGTGCTGCCAGCATTGCTGGAGAGGTTGAAGAAGTGGGAGGTCAGCCTGTCAATGCTTAGACCATACGCCGCACAATGCATCAACTCGGTCTGCATGGCTGTCATCCCAGAAGGAAGCCTCTTCTGAAGCTGATGAAAAGTTTGCTGAAGACAAGCAGTCCAAGAACATGGATTACTGGAACCATGTCCTGTGGTCTGACGAGACCAAGATAAACCTCTTTGGCTAAGATGATGTCCAGCATGTGTGGCAGCACCATGGTGAGGGGTACCAAGACAACTGTCTCTTGTCTACAGTCAAGCATGATGGTGGTAGCATCATGGTCTGGCACTGGGGAGCCTCGGTTCATTGAGGGAAAGATGAATTCCAACATGTACTGTGACATTCTGAAACAGATCATGATCCCCTTCCTTCAGAAATTGCACCGCATGGAAGATTTCCAACACAATAACAGCCCCAGACACACCTCCAAGATGACAACTGCCTTGCTGAGGAAGCTGAAGGTAAAGGTGATGGACAGGCCAAGTATGTCTCCAGATCTAAACCCAATTGAGCACCTGTGGGGCATCCTCAAATGGAAGGTGGAGGAATGCAAGTTGTCTGACGTCCACCAGCTCCATGATGTCATCATGGAGGAGTGGAAGAGGATTCCAGTAGCAACTTGTGCAGCTCTGGTGTATTCCATGCCCAAGAGGATTAAGGTAGTGCTAGATAATAATGGTGGTCACACAAAATATTGACACTTTGAGCACAATTTAGACATTTGGTTCACTGTGATGTGTACTCACTTGTGTTGCCAGTTATTTAGACATTAATGGCAGTTATTTTCAGAGGACAGTAAATCTATACTGCTATACAAGCTGTACACTGACTACTTTAAGTTATATTCAAGTTTCATTTCTGTAGTGTTGTCCCATGAAAAGATATAATAAAATATTTGCAGAAATGTAAGGGGTGTACTCACTTTTGTGAGATACTGTATATAACTGCCATCGGCATAGCAGTGGAAATTTATGCCATGTTTACTGATGATGCTGATTTAGCATATATATTGTGAATAATATAAGTCCTAAAACAGAGGCTTGTGGAACACCATACTTTACTTTTGTGAGGATAGATGATTCACCATTTACATTAAAGTGATAGTGATCAGTGAGTTAAGATTTGAACCAGGAAAGAGCTATTCCTGTTACCCCTACAAGGTTTTCTAGTCTATCTAGTAATATAGAGTGGTCTATTGTGTCAAATGCCACACAAAGATCGAGGATGACTAGCAAAGACATGTTTCCTTGGTCAGAGAATAATAAAGGATTGTTTACAATTTCTTACTAGTGCTGTCTCTGTACTATGTTGTGGCCTAAAACCAGTACCATGTATATAATTCCTATACAAATAGGAACTTCATTGTTTTGCTACAACTTTTTTCCAAGATTTTGATAAAAAGGGGAGATTCGAGGCCTATAATTTGAAAGTTTGCTGGATCAAGGTTAGCTTTTTTTTTAATCAGAGGTCTAATTACTACTAGTTTAGGAGTTTTGCAGAATGGTTATTGCTGTTGTCATATTGAAAGAAGTATTGTCATCCCTGATAAACAGGACATCTAAAAAGCAAGCATACACTGCTTCAATATGTGTTCGGCATTAATGTTAATTTCACAGATCTGCAGATTACTTATTACTTATACCCTCCCATACCATAAGAGTCTCTGGATTTTGAACTGTACATTTTAATAATCTGGATGATCCTTTTCTTCTTTAGCCCAGAGAGCACAACATCCATTATTTCCAGAAATAATCTCAAAAGGTCAATGTGACAGGCCACAATATATGTTTCCACTGTGCATGAGTCCATTTCAGATGAGCTTGAGTTGTTGACAGTCTGGATGTTGTTGATATGTATGTTGCACTGTGCATAGTACAGTCTTGGCTGTATTGAATTTGTAGATGCAGCAACAAGTGGTGTTTATTACTAAAAGTCTGTCTGAGGGGTCGGACGTCATGGGCATTCATTTGTGTTTTCTGGCCTTATCCTTCACCCATGGATTTTTCTCAGGTCCCAGAAAAATCACCTCTCTGAACCACTCACCTGACAAGTGATTGGGAAAACCAATATGTCTGCAATCTCCCACCATATTACTGTTAGAGCAGGTGTGTTGTAGATGTCGCTACTCAGTTACCAACTTCGATGTTCAATGGTCATGCACTGCATTAGCTGTAACACAATCACACTGCAGTTCATATGTCAGATTGGAAACTGGCATCCATTTACTTACTATTTTATGCCAAACTTAGATCTCATAAATAACTACTTAAACTTTAATTTGCTCTCATTCTCTTACTGTGTGTTTGTGTCAGATTGTGTGTGTGTATAAGAGAGAGTGTGAGTGTGTGTGTGTGTGAGATGTCAGTGTTCTGATGTATCATCATTTCTTTCTCAGGCTGGATGGCTGTTATCTCACACATAAAAGCTGTGAAGCTCTGTCCACAGCTCTCAGCTCAAACTCCTCAAGACTGAAAGAGCTGAACCTCAGTGAAAATGAACCACAGGATTCAGGAGTGAAGCTGCTCTCTGATGGACTGAAAAATCCAAACTGTAAACTGGAAAACCTGAAGTAAGATAATCACTTTTCACTGTGTATCACTCTCACATAGATGCTTGCATGGTCTTATACCTCAGTAGCAGCTTTATAAAGATGTCCATGTCCTCACAATGATAGGACAACATGACATTTTTTGTGTTGCTTTCACCACAAATATCATATTTTGCAAAAACTAAAAGAGCACAAACTTTGCCTTTTGGACTCCAAGGCTAACATTAGGGTGATGTGTAGTAGTATTTAGGAACAGTAATACGAAAATCAATAGAAACCTGTGGACATTTTCACAAGTATAGCAAGACAAATGTGTGTGTGTGTGTGTGTGTATGTGTGTAATGTTAGTGCTTTGATGTATTATCATTTCTCTCCCAGTTTGAATAGGTGTAGTCTCACAGAGAAAAGCTGCAGAGCTCTGGCCTCAGCTCTCAGCTCAAACTCCTCAAGACTGAGAGAGCTGTACCTACGTAGCAATGAACTGCAGGATTCAGGGGTGGAGCTTCTATCTGCTGGACTGAAGAATCCACACTGTAAACTGGAGGTACTGGAGTAAGTTCAATACTTTATCATTGTGTGTATAGATCTCTCTCTCTCACACACACACTCTTTCATAGCTCTGTATGTTTTTATGTTTTGTCTTCATACAGTTGAGACACACACAACATTACAGTCGGTAGGACTTTCTATAAACAGAACTTACTTCTTTGTGCAGTAAAGAACCTTTAAGGAATCCAGTTTGGAAGGAAAAACACAAGACCCACATACTCATATTACAGTGATTGATAAAGCATATTTAATAAAAGTGTGGTTAATTTATTTTCTAAGCCTTTTTCTAAGCATAAGAAAAGTGTTTTCTTTCAATTATGTTATTATATTGTCATTGCTTTCATTCACATAGTTTCAAAGGAGTTGACACAGGTTTCACAGTAAAGCACAAAAGCCAAGTAGATTTTGAGAAAGACAGACATTTGATAACAGCTTAAAAAAAATCTTATCTTAATCATATCTACTTTCAGCACCTGTTGGAACTACATTGTATAGCTATTAACTCAGCAATCAGTTGTCATCAATTAATGTGTCAACTATACACACTGCTAAAGGAGACTAGAGACATATAGGGAGTTTAAATTGCACATGCACACGGAAAGTGTTTAGTTCTGAATATTCAGAAATGATTGTTTCTGTTTTGTTGTTTTCCACACTTATAGAAAAGGTGAGAATAATGGAAAGCAACATGGTCTAAAATAATAAAAACATTCAGGAGGCCTGTGACGGTGTCTGTAAAGGGATGTGTAATAGATATGTCTGTTATTGTTTAAAGACAATTCATAAAATGGCAGTATTACTGAGATTCAGAGAAAAGCTACAGTGTAGTGACATAGATTTGACAAATACTCAGGCCTCCAGTTTGGAATCAACCACTGCAAACTCTCACCTTTGTTTCAAGAGTTTAGAAGAAATAAACATGAAAAGTGTTTGGTTCTGAATATTTTAGGTGTTTGGTTTGGAGAGGTACTCAGCACATTGTATTGAAATGTATGTCTGGTAAATCTTCCTAGGAGACAAGAATAGATTCCACTCTTTTAATCTCAGAAATGAAACCTGATTACACTTAAGCATTCATAGCCTGATCTCTGAGTTGTAATAGTCTTTCTGTCTGTCTTTCTGTGGCCATTTTATTGCTTTCCCTCTGTTTTGTTATATTATGTGCAGGCATGTGGTTGGCCACATGGGGGTGCCCTCCTCTATATAAGCGGTCACCGAGCCATGACCAAGAGAGATGTTCAGGGCTCTCTCCTCTCTGACATGACCTTGAAGTACACCTTTTTAGACCAGCTCAAAAATGTTCAGTCCACTCTGCTTTGCTTCGCTTCCATTCTTAAATCTGAGGAGCTATATTAGACTTTGTGGATTTGGGAAAAAGTAGGTGATGAGGGACATTTATTTTGGTTACCTCTTTTTTAAATTATAGAATTAGGTTAGCTTTTTGTGTTTTTGTCTTTTTTCAGGTTTAGTTAGCTTAGAACCTTTAGTTATTTTACAGCACTAATGATTTTTTTTTGTTTAGTGAGAGATTAAAGAATTTACTCACTTGACCATAGATGGTACTGTCTGATAGAAAGGCCTTTTTTGTGTGTGTTCAGTGTCTCATGGGAGTTTGGCATGGTTGTGCAAAAATGTACATCCTTCCGGCTATCAAGTGTCTGATTAGTGTTGTGTTAATTGTTTTAATATATGATTTTTTAATGAACAAAATCAATCAAATAATACAGCCAAAAAGACTAACAGACTAACTTTTAGTTTGTTTTTAAAATATATATATAAAAAAGGTTTTTGGTTTGGTCTGGAACTGTAGTTGTTTGAGTGTAACATTATTTTCAGATGACCATGACCATGAAAAAGAGTGAGAGAGGGAGAGAACTAGTATGTTTGTATGTTACTGTTTTTGTTTGTGTGCATTTGTATCTGTGATGTCTGTGTTTTGATGCATCATCATTTCTCTTCCAGTCTGAGTCACTGTAATCTCACAGAGAAAAGCTGTGTAGCTCTGGCCTCAGCTCTCAGCTCAAACTCCTCAGGACTAAGAGAACTGGACCTGAGTTTTAACAAACTGCTGCAGGATTCAGGAGTGGAGCTACTCTCTGCTGGACTGACAAATCCACACTGTAAACTGGAGAAACTAGAGTAAGTCTAACACTTTATCAATGTGTGTGTGATTATGTGTGTGTGTGTGTGTGTGTGTGTAATAATAAGTGTATTTTTGAAGATGTGTGTGTGTGTGGTCAATGCTTTGATAAATCATCATTTCTCTTCCAGCCTACATAAGTGTAAACTCACAGAGAAAAGCTGTAAAGCTCTGGTCTCAGCTCTCAGTACAAATTCCTCGAGTCTGATAGAGCTGGACCTGAGTGGCAATGAACTACAGGACTCGGGAGTGTGGCTGCTTTCTGCTGGACTAAAGAATCCATACTGTAAATTGGAGACCTTGCAGTAAGATCACCACTTTATAACTCAGAAACACCTAACATAGAAAGAGGCAGACAAAGAGAGACAGAGTGAAAGATGGAGAGAAACAGAAGAAGTTAAAGAGAGCAAATGACAGAGAACAACACACAAAAAACATACAGAGGGAGAGTCTAGAGAGAACTGAGAGAAGAAGATATAACACAAAGAAAAATACAGAGATGTGGATAGGCATTGTGAGGCTGTATATATGTGTGATGTCAATGTTCTAATGCATCATCATTTTTCTCACAGTCTGTGTAGTTGCAATCTCACAAAGAAAAGCTGTGAAGCGCTGTCCTCTGCTCTCAGTTCAAACTCCTCAAGTCTGAGAGAGCTAAACCTGGAAAACAATGAATTGCAGGATTCAGGAGTGAAGCTGCTCTCTGCTGAACTGAAGAATTCACACTGTAAACTGGAAAAACTGGGGTGAGATCATTATCACTGTGTGTTACAATCACCCCCTCATACACATTGCATGGTTTTATAACTCTTTTCTCTCTTTCTCTCTGTCTCTCTCTCTCTCTCTCTCTCTCTCTCACACACATACACATACACACACACACACACTATACAATGAGTAGAAGTATTTTATATACAACTTTAATTTGCACTTTGTATTGCACATGCACTTCTCTTTAAAAAGAGAATTCACTAAAACATTCAGAAACATTTGTTTCTGCCTTTTGCTTTTTGGAGAAAAAATGAGCAACACTTTCTAAAATGGTAAACATACAGGAGGCCTGCAATGATGTCATTAGAGGGATGTATAATTGGTTCGTCTGTTATTGTGTAAAGACAATTCATAGAATGGCAGTCTTACCTATTGAGACTTTGAAATAGATAGATACTGCAGTGTGCCAACATAAATTTGAGTTGGACCTTCTTTCACTTTCTGTCATGTGCATTCCTTAATTGATGACATGTACAATTCTTGCCTGAATTTCACTGGAAATATCAGTACAGTATGGTATGGAATGGAATGCCAAGACCTTTAGCTTAGGCTACTCTGCCACAGTCTGACAAATACTCATGCCTCTGATTTGGTATCAACCACTGCAATTACTTTCATCTTCGTTTCAAGAGTACAGAAAAAATAAGGAGGAAAAATGTTTCTGAATATTTGGGGTTTTTGGTTTGAGGGGAGTATGCAGAACTGCGTGTGCAGTTAAAATAAGATGCTGAGGCTTTACTGATTAAAATATATTTTTTCCTGCATGTATATAAAATATATTTTAATTTTTGTCTGAAACAGCTGAAAGTTTATGATGATGATCATGAAAGAAAAAGAGAGGAGTGTGTATATGTGTGTTTGTGTGTTGATCTCTAAATGTGCAGGTTTTCTCCTCTCTGCAGGCTGTCTAAATGCAATATTTCAGGGGAAGGCTGTGCTGATCTGGTTTCAGCTCTAAAATCAAACCCCTCATCACACCTTAGAGAGCTGAATCTAGACTGGAGTAAACCAGGAGATTCAGGAGTGAAGGAGATATCTGGTCTGCTGCAGGATCAACACTGTAAACTGGAGAAACTACAGTGAGTTGCTGACGTATTGTCCCTACACAAACATATACACACACTGTGTATGTGCATGATGAGCTGTGTGAGAAGTTTTACTTTCTCTCTGCAGTCTGTATGACTGCAGTATTACAGGTGAAAGCTGTGTTGCCCTGGCTTCAGCTCTAAAATCAAATCCTTCATCACGGCTGAGAGAAATTAACCTGGACTCCAATAAACTAGGAGAGTCAGAAGTGAAGCTGTTCTGTGATCTACTAGAGGATCCAAACTGTAAACTGGAGAAACTACAGTAAGTTAGTGACTTACAGTCTCTACACACACACACACACACACACACACACACACACACAAGAACAGTGTGTTGTTTATGAAGAATCTAGAGGTGTATGAGTAAATAAATATTTTACATTTTTACAGTGTGTGTTAAGTGAAACAAATGACTGAGAGATTTAAAAAAGATGAAACATGCTCTGATTAATGAACTTCTTATGTAAATAAGCTAAATAAACTAATTAATTTGAAGTGAAATATTATTATTAGCAGTGCTGTATTTATACCCACTTAACATTCCAGCTTAGTTTAGTCATTCTGTAACAAGATAAATTAGATATTCGTCACTAAAAAACTAACTGGAGCACATCTTAGAAATTTTGCATGCTTTCATGAGTTATAGTTCATGACATGACTGGGCAGGTCCTAGGTGGTTTGTTGCTGAATGACCCCTGAGTTTGAGTTCGTCTGCTGATTTTCTCCTGCTCTTTTACAGTATCTGCACACCATCTAGCTGATATGCTGTCACAGGCAGAGGGTTGTGAGGAGAGGATAAAGTCTTAGTACACATGCACCCACTGTATGTATATAGTTCTGCATAGGACTGTGTGTTTGTTTGGGCTCTTATTGGTCAAATCTGTTAACATGACTGCAGCAAAGTGTGTGATCTCCCATGGCCATCACTTCCTGTACATCAGTAACTGCACTTTCAGTGACCTGTTCATCAAACTCCTCACATTGATGGATGAACTCACTTGGTGAGGAGAGTGGAGTGTGATGAGCTACATTTTATAATTCATGTTTTTACAGAAATAAAAGTGTATTTGTTCCCGACCATGATTGATTTGTACATTTTGGATTGTTATTCAACCATAAAAATGAAAACATTATGTTTAGCTATTATAGTTAGACCCACTAAAAACAGGTTGGTTCTTTGGCAAAACCTGCCCCCGGCAGGGGTAAATTGAGCATAGGGAGCATTGGGGGTAAAAAGGGCCAATGGTTAATACCTTAATTAACCATTGGACACCAGTTAAAAACATATATGAACAGGCTGCTCAGCATTTTACAAGCCTTTTGTAAAATCCTGAATTCAGAAAAAGATAAATAAAAAAAAGTTTAGACAGCTCTCGTACAGTAATCACAAAATGTGTTTATTGGACTCATGCACAGACATGTTTTGGCATATGAACTTTCTCACTTTACTTTCTTCCCACCAGCTCATTCTAGCCACCAGCTCACCAGCTAAATAAATCTACCAATTACACAAACCTCCCACTTATGATATCATTAAAGAGAGCCAGAAGTTTCAACAATCACCATCATGGACCACAAAGTTTCAACAAAACCCATTAAAGTAAATTAAAGCAAAAAAAGATAAATTATTGCTCAGAAAATTATTTTAATATAGATAGTATGCTCAATTAAACTATAAAAAACAAGTCAATGAAAAATCTTCATTCCATTGCCTTATAGCATCATTGTATTTAGAGTGAAAATGTACCAGGCCTCTCTCTGCAAGAAGTGCCTCTCACAGTCTCCAACCTTCGACAAGGGTTCTGCTATTGTTCTTTGGATTCTTCAGTGTTTTGTAGATATTCTGTTTTGCAAGTCTTGTCTAACAGGGTGTGACTGTGGCTGTAGGTGTGTGTATGTTAAAAATTCAGAAGATAGTCCAGTAACATTAACTGCACCGGTTATATATATGTAGACAGCTGAATCTGGTTTTAGCTCTGGAAGAGTGAATCTGAATGGTTTGTTTTAGATGAGCAATGTCCAATCTAATCCATTAAATTAGAAGCACACATGACCAACTGTTTTATCACACCAACTGATTAAACAGGTGGAATCAGGAGTGCCCCAGTTTGTTTGGAATGAAAATCTAGAGCCACACTAACCCTTCGTGACTGGACACCCCTGCTCTTCACTTTGATAGAGTAATTTTGATTATTTGGCATTGAAGTCTGAGTTAATTAGACTCATAATTGTAAATCTGGTGGATTGGTATTTCAGTTTAGACCGGTAGGTGTTTACGTTTAGGCTCTAGTAGACTGGATCTGATTGGATGGTGTTGGGGTCCAGGCTCTGGTAGACTGGATCTAATTGGATGGTGTTGGGGTTTAGACTCTGGTAGACTGGATCTGTTTGGATGGTGTTGGGGTCCAGGCTCTGGTAGACTGGATCTGATTGCTTGTTGTTGGGATTTAGGCTCTGGTAGACTGAATCTGATTGGTTGGTGTTCAGGTCCAGGCCCTGGTAGATTGGACCCATGCTGATGTTGTTCTGGTTTCCAGGAGATTCATTTTCATAATCACCATCAGCCTGCAACCACAGTAACACACACAGTGGAAAATAACTCAAAACCATAGTCTTGACATCACAGTCATTCATTTATGCGGAATAATTCCCAATGTAGTCATGACACCATGGGTTTCCATCTCTGGCACTGAAGATGTACTGCTGTGCTGTTTGCTTTACACATCATAATTAATTGAACAATATGTAGTTTTTCCCCCACTGTGGCCTATGAAGGCTGCAATGTACACAGTCCTTTTTTCTATCCTACACAGCGATATTTTATTACTTTAATAAGAAATTGATTGCATTCTTGAAACCAAACCTCCAATAACAACAATGTAAAATATGCAAAGTTGTCAATAATGAGATCATGATTTACTTTGGATAAGGACATCTTCCAATTGCCATAGCTGTAAATCAAATATTATTGTGTACACTTGGAATAAATCAAGCAGTTACAGACCCTGTAGCCTCTTAAAACAGGGCTTAATTCTAATGACTTGCACGTTTATATTTTAAAACAGTTCATATTTGGTCATAATGAGAATCAGTTTTAAGACTTTGTGTTTAATGGGTCTTTTCACTCACAGTGTTCTGTGTTCTTCTCTCAGTGTTTCTACAGATACACCCTGCAGAAGAATTGAAGATGTTAATCAAAGAGCAGTATTTCACAAGACTGGTGGATTTAATTTTCAACAGAGGAAATCTTTTCATAACTGGGATCTAATTTATACTCCTATTAAAGTATTACATTCCTAACAAAGCCACGAAAATGACCACAGACCAGGACTGAAATTAATCCTAAGCCTGGACTGACACATAATTATAAACTGTGTTTATGGGTGTGTGTGCAGTACCTTGTGTCCTATTGTGGATGAGTTTGTAAATCAGAGCCAATCCTTGAATCACCAGCAGAACCACACGGACATACAAAGCGAAGAAAACCACAGAGGAGGAATCTGTAGATGAGGCGAAGAGATTAAACATAATGATCATATTCAGAGCACTTTCAGGAGGAATACAGTCTACACAATGACAGCTGTAAAATTTCATTTAAACACACTTCTGAAAAATCTACAATACACACAGAGAGATAGAGAGAGAGATAGAGAGAGAGAGAGAGAGAGAGAGAGAGAGAGAGAGTTAGTTAGCATTTAGAGACACTCTTTAAAAAAAGAAAGATGAATGTATCCATGGAGTCTAGGCCTGTGCCTGGTGATGATTAACTGAGTTATTATGGTATCAGACCCCAGTGATAGTCAAAATCTTTATTAGTTTACTTCATGCAAACCACAGCTGGGTGATGTTATATCCTACTTTGCTTTTACATTTATTGTACCTAGCTCAGATAAGACACAGTTGCACTGGTTAAATATACACGGTGCAACACATAATATAATGCCCGTACAAAAAGCTGCCAATGTTACACTGCACATTTTAGGACATCCACAGACCACAAGATCAGGCATTAGAAAAACAGGCTCTCTTCTTTGATGTTAACAATTAAAATAAAAGACCATCAGTGGCGTAAACGTGAAACTCAATATTAAAAAAGAGCTAATCAAGGACCAACTTAAGTTTTGCCTGTGGAGGAGTTGGCATGCAGGCTAATCTTATCTATAAATTGCTGGCATATGTAACATTAGCCTAATATTAGCTAGTAACATTTCTTTAATTAAACTGTCACAGGCTGTATATTCAGAACTATAAGCTGTCTGAATGTGTTATTAAGTCACGTAACTTACATTAATTGCACTGGTACTGTTGATACATTACACTTACAGGACAAACTGGATATCTAGAAAAAAGTCACCTCTGCTTTGCTGCTTTCAGGCTGCTTTGCTTAGTTGCTACTGTTGCAAGTTCAATGATGGCACCCTGCAATGTGATTGAACTTGATACTGGGAGGAGGGGGCAGGTCTACCAAATGAGTAGACGAACCTGACTTCAGCTCTCATCTCAACTACGCAAACTCTGGTTCCAATTTTGATGGTGGAGGAATTTTGGTTTCATTTCTATAGAACAGAAAGGCATGAACCCACGTTGGCCATGCTTTCTACAGCCATTGATCACAACTAACTGGCAGTCTGGCACACTATGTTCAGTTTACAAGCCTCATGTCTGGATCTTAATTTATAGACAACAATCGTAATTTAAATCGGAGTCACAGTTTTGGTCAGAAAAAATGCAATTAGATGTTTCCCCCAAAACATTCAGAATTCAGCTGACTACATATGTCTTTGAATGAGCGGCCAGTGTATTAGGTCAAACGGGTATGTCCACTTAAGTTTCTGCTGTGACAGCTCTGAGAACAGAGAGGCAGCTGAACATGTGGAAGTAAAGGAAACGTACAGTAAAGACCAAGAACTGTGTTTCATATAAGAATTCACAGTGGAGGACAATGTAATGATAAATCAGTAGATTGATTAACAGACAATCAACAGGACTAACACATAGTTAGTTCTCATTAATTATTTATGAGTAAACACGCATAAGTTCATTAATAGTTTAATAATCAGCAGTTAGTGCACAATTAATGAGTAAATAAGCTCAAGAACAAACAGAAAAATCAGTTAAACCCTCAACATTCTTTCATGCAAAGGCTTATTATTCAGTAACTACAGGGACTCCTATGGAGACTAATGGAGCTATTCTTACATTACAGAACTGTGTAATAAAACTTTGGGCCTACTGATTCCCACTACTTACTAAATTATTACTACTTACTAATTACTATTTAGTTACTAATTAGTAAGTACTTAGTAACTAATGCTTAATAATGTTCAGTATCTAATGCTTACTGAACAGTTAATATATAAATAAATGAATATTGAATTACTTATTAGTATATAATTATCAATTAATTTGTGACCCTTAATAAAAAAAGTGTACTTTATCCAATGTTAACTACTGCAGGAATACCCAATTCCTTCCTATGTTCATTCATTAGTAATGAAGCATAACACATTATTCATTACTGACAATTACTATGTTAGTAAACGAGTTGTTGGCACATTGTAACTAGATTGCTAAAGAACAGTGTTGGAAAAAAAAAAAACTTCACACATAAGCTAACATGCACTCACACACAGCACATTTAAAAATAGGTACAAAAGTCTGTGTTGCTTTACTGTAACACCTTACCAGACTGATGCATGATTTCTGTGTTCTTTGCTGTGGATTTCATAGAAAAACAGAAAAAAGAGGGATGTGTATTTTGGGAACTATCTAGATAAATTATGCTGTAGCCAGTTAATAAGATCTTAGTATTATCAGAACAACAATACAAACAATATCAAGAACAAACCTGTGTTCTTATGTTTGAAGAGTCTCTACATTTGAAAATAAATGAAAGAGCTACCTGTAATGCTAGGGCTGTTCAATACTGTTTCATTGTCTGATCAAGTAACTGATCTCTTAAGAGAAGTGTTGAAGTATCATGGCTTTTAGGCCCAGAAGTTTCTAACCTGTTTGCTGTGTGTGCACTTGTGGCTAGAAGGACCATCCGTGAAAGATTGAGTCAGATTAACAGTAAAAAATGAC